TTCGATAGCATCATAGTTACACATCGACATCGCATGCTGGCTTGAAGCAACTCATGGGCCTCTCAGGCTTGGATTTTCTTCCTCAACTCAGCCATCTTTCTTATTCTTTCGGGAAGGGCGACACCACGCTCTTTTCCTCACGATATCAAGCCCCTTCCTTCCGCTGAATCCAGTTGTTAACCACCGCCGCAATCTCCAAACTGTTCTTCTCCAAGTGCATAAAATGCCCGTTTCCACGAATCCCAATTTCCCCCAGCTTAATCCATTCCGGCTGCCCACCAACCTGCTTCAGATAATCCACAGTACAGTGATCATACGTGACATGTACACTCGCCTCCGTCGTAACCATCAAATACGGCACGCTCGCAATCTTGGGCAGTTGCCGTGCCGGCTCCTTTTGCCGGTAACAACTCCGATGCGCCAGCGTATCGTTCCCCACAACCTCGGTCTCGAGCTCCGCCGCGCTGGCGGCGGGAGGATCGTAGTCGAGAGGCGTATTCGTCAACCCCCACGCGTTCGTCGCTGAGCGGCTCTCGAATGACCAGAATGGGACTGTCGTGCCTTCGAGGTTGATGTTTCCTGCAATGTACTCCGGACAATCATTCGATAGAAGAATCGTGGCGCGGGCGCCGATGGAGTGCGAGATGAGATACGCCTTCTCGCCCAGCAGCGAAAGAAGCTCGCAACCTGACGCGCGAAGAGCGTATTCCTGCGGAACCCAGCTTGTAGACAGCGGGAGGATAGTCTTTTTGAACTGCTCAAATGTTGGGTCGCCTTTCTGCCCAGTGCCGGCCCACTGGGTATGGAGGACAGCTTGCGGATAGGCGCCGTATGCCTCGACGTGCGTGAACCCCTTTTCCACGCCCTCGGCCGCTGTGCCGGCGATCATGGTGAAATTCGTGAGGTTGTTCTCTGTCGAGCGGCCGATGGCGGCGGTATCGACGAGGTAGACTGTGTGGCCTTGTTGTAGGAAGTAGGTTGCCCAGCCTGGGCGGTTGTCGGGTGTATTGAGCCATGTTACGCCTGTTGTTCCGCCTCCGTGGAAGAAAACAATAGGTTTCGGTGTTGTGATAGTGCTGCGGCGGCGGGTCCGGCTGGTGGTGACAGGAACTAGTTTTTCGACGTAGAGCTGGTCGACTGTGACGTTTCCTGAGGTTGTCTCGATGTAGCGGCCTCCAAGGTAGAAGAAGTCGCGGGTGTGGGCGGCTTCTTTGGAGGCGCATTTCGTGCTGATTGCGTTGACGCCGGTGCAGTTCCCTATGGCTAGGGCCTGTGTGGCTACGACACCGAGGGAGAGGATTGAGGCGATTGAGAGGCGGACCATCTTTACGCGGAGAGGGACAGCCGAAGGTTGAGGGATACGACTAAGAGGACGGATCGAGTGCGACGCTGTGGTTGACGGAGATCGGGGTCATGGTTGTTAAGTATCCGGTGATGACGGGGGCTGTCGACTGGGGTTTTTGATGGCGGCCGCCCAGAGGTCGAGATCCTCTCGGGGCTCCATTTCTCGAGATTGCTGGCCTAAGGAATTCTCCAAGGGGCGGAGATGTGGTTACATTCGCGGGATGGATTCGTGGAGATGGCGATCCACAAGGCCCAGGGCCTCAGCCCGAAGGTTGATAGTGGAGCGAAACCGAGCGTCTCTTTTGGCGTTGCGGTGATATCTTTTTGAAATTCCCATGGCGAGATACGCGATCCATACTATCGGGTTTTTGGTTTGAAGGGACACTTGGGAAGACATTATGCGGATGTCCCATTTGCCTTTGCCAAGACGGAGGAGAGTTCACCGGAAGGTGGATCTTCGGCGCGCAGAAGCCAAGGAAATGACGGGCCGGGGGTATTGGCTTTTTGGGTAAAGTTGGCCCCACGCCTCGGACCGTTTCTCCGGGGCGCATCTGTAAGCGATGGGACTTTGGTCAACCTCATATGTACGTGAGGGTTTGTATCCACGTGGCGGGTGCATCAGAAATGCTGTTCACATTGAGCAATAGAGAAAACCAGAAGAGTATCATTCGTCTTTCAAGAATGTCGGCAACACTTCAAAGAAACAGTCAGGATAGAGAACCAAGCCCAAACGAATTGGAAGAAGGAAAAAAGAAATGTACGCAGAGCGCTGAGGGTGATTTGAACCCACGAGATTTCCAGATGGCCATACAAATTGGGCAATCGAATGCCAGTCTCCACGGGACGTCAACCGCTCAACCATCTTCCGGCGGTAAGTCACTTCCAGGGTGAAAACATCTTCCTCTCTACTGGGTTGACTTTTTGAGCATTTTTTGTCCCTATATACCCCCCTTCCCCACTCCACAGAAATACCAGGCAGTCACAATACGACTGCCCAGTGAGTATTCTACTTTGTCACGTGGCCTTGGATTGCCTCTTGCCTCAACTGTTGGTTCAACCTATATCATGTTAACTAAGGTAAGGTACGATAAGCCAACTAGCCTGAACTTCATTTCCGAGCAGCGTTTGCAAGTGATGAGATCAATCAATTTCTCCGCCTTATGATCCTATAGTGACCATTCTTCCTCGTCGTGCTGGCCACACAGGCTAAAGACATGTTCCGCCCGGGAAAGATCTTAACAGGGGATCTGAAAATGGCATGATGAATGTGTATAATGAAGCAAAGGGGCAGAATCGTAAATTAAAGGCGAGTGACAAAGTCATAGCGCCAGGGATGTCCCATTCTCCCGTCCCTTAGTCCATACGCCGAAGCTCCCTGGGAATTCTGGGATCTATGTAAACCGTGTTCCAACAATACTTAGCCATTGTCGAATCACCAATAGACATAGCTGGGCAAGCTCAGAAGAGGCTTGCAGAGATTCCTGGAGACATCGAGATGGCATTGATTATTTGGCGCACAGGAAGTCGCTTGTTGGACGGATTGAAGGCTGATTGAGAGAGTGTAATGTGACCAACGTTCAGCTTCAACACTTCAAAATCTGTTTGTATGAATCGACAAAGAAATTGGCAAACCTGGACTTGCAAAAGTCTTGGATCGACTCTGGCAGGATCTTTTGACTTTGGGAACTTCTTGGGCAGGTATCACCTCGTGGATGTAAAGGCTCCTTCCTGATTTCACTCATCGACGCGGTCTAACAGGTGAAAAACAAGCGAAGACGCCCAACGCGTCTAGATGAGCCAAATCATACTCACTTCTGAATAGTCTGGGCGGTCAACGCACCTTCTGCTCTGAATAATTTCTCCCACCGCCTGCAGCCCTGCTTCCCGAACTTTTCAAATTTTCCCACAACATTCAACCTTTCCTGACCTCACTTCTTGTTTCCCACAACACCTTCCCCTCCACCCATCCTCCTTAACACCGCGACTTTGCATCACCTCGCATCGCAAAACTCATCGCACCTTTCCTCTATTGGATAACTTCTCTCATCCTTTTCACTCGACCTTCTTCGAACCGTTACTCAACCGAGAATCGATCAGTCTGCATCAACCATCCTAACTCAAGACTAGAGTAATTTGATCCCTCTCCCAATTCTCTCCGTCCGGTCTTCGAGTACTAATCCCATGTAGATCATGTCGTTCAGAAGCAGCCTGATTACTTCCGGCTCTGGAGGCATGGGTAATGGCGAGGCAGCTCCCATCTGCGCCGACCAGAATGCCCTCACCCGAATTCCTGGCCTGATCTTCGAAGTCGGCGACAACGGTCGCATCATCGCGCAGCGGGGCACTCCTCAGCTCAAGCTCCTCACCCAGGGCTACGCGAATGACACTCCGACCCGCGACATGGCCAAGCTCATTGCGCGCCGTGGCGCTGATCTTCTCGCCGCGTACTTCAAGGTCGTCGCTGCTGCCAGCAACGGCAAGAACGCCCTGGTCGACCAGAATCACCACCTGGCCTGGGTCCCCGCTCTACGAAGCCTGGTCAAGGAGAAGAGATGGACCGAGTTTCTGGACGTCAAGAATCACCACGTCCAGGCTGTATTGATCGCCATCGGAGACGCTCGCAAGCGCTTCATCGACGAACTCACCGTCACCCCCGCTCCTCCCAACCGCGAGCATTACAAGACCTTTCTCGACCTTGTCGATCGCTTCAATGTCGATCGAATTGGCCAAACGGGCTCCTCTAGCTCCTTTCCGGCTGTTACTGCTGCTCCGGTCGCCCCTGCCCAGTCCGCCCCTACCGTCCCGTCTGCCTTCCAGATCTCGGCGAACCATCTCCAGTCTACTGCAGATCAGATGATCCGGGATGCTTTCGCTGCACTCCAGATCAGCGACCAGCAGATTGATCAGATCAGCAACGGTCTTCAGACCTCGGCGGACCAGCTCCAGGCTGCCGTGACCAAGACAGTTCAGGACGCATTCGATGGTTTCAACGCCAAGGACAAGGTCATTGAGACCATCACTCAGCAGACTAATCAGGCCAACAAAGCTGCTCGAATGGCCCAGACCGAGATCACGGCCCTCAGAGCCAAGTATGAGAAGATCGAGGATGAGAAGCAGAAGCTCATGGAGAAGAACGCCGAGGCTACGGCCACCGCCGTGGTCGCCTCTTTGACCGATACCATTACTGGCGCTGTGACTCATGCTATGGCTGAGATGGAGGCTGCCGAGCAGCACGGTAGCATCTCCGGCCAGGAGATGCTGTTCGCCCACATCGTTGATGACCTGAATGAGCTTGAGGCTCTTCGAGGCGGCGAGGATGTGGAGTGGGCTGCCGATGACCTTGATGACTACAAGGAGAAGCACAATATTCCTGATTTCTGATTTGTACACCAAGAGGTCTCGATGCCGGTATCCCGTTGGAGGAAGATGGAAGGGTCACTGTTGTACATGTCGGCACCATCGGACAAAGGAAGGGTTGAAGAATACGGCTATCAGGCGTTGGACTGGTCTAATTCGAGTATATGGGTGTGATAGGTAGCAAAAGCTCCTGGTCTATCAGTCGATATATCTGCCTCTCTGGCGGTCTATGATCCAATGACCTCACGCGTCCACCTAAGGATGCCCTATCCAAAACAATGACAACGTAACCATCCTCATCAAACCTTCTTAAGCTCAAACCCACCAGCCTGAACGTACCGCGCGGAAGCAAACACCCCCGCTGAAGCAAGGATCGAAAACCCACAAAACAGCTGTAGACCCAAATAATCCCCTCCCCGCGCATCGACAATCGCACTCGCAATCGGACTCCCCGTAAGCGCGCCAAACGACTGGAACGCGAAAGCCGTGCCAGTCCTGGCGCCAATCTCTCGAATATCTGAAATCTGGGCAATCAGCGTCGGACCGATGGAGGTCAGCCCTGACGAGAGGAAGCCAAAGGCCGCTGTGAAGACTAGAATGCCGGCGTTGCTCTTGATTGGGATCCACAGGGCCAGGCACGCGATGCCGGTGAGGGTGGCGAGGATGATCATGATGTTGTAGCGGCCTATTTTGTCGGCTACTAGGCCTGGAATGACACGCCCGATTAAGCTGATTGAGAGGTCAGTGGGGGTTCTTTGGAGTTGTGAAGGCCCTGAAGAGGGGCTTTAGGACGTACCCTACGGCATGCATGATGGGCAGCAAGTAGATGACCAAACCGTCGTCCATACCCTGCGCCTTGGCTTGCAAGATAACAAAGGCGTAGGGAACAAATAGACCCCAGAAGACTAAGAATAGACCGAAGACAGTGGACATCATTGTAGGTTCCCGAATGCCCCGGAAGTACTCCTTCATGTCCACGGGCTTCGTCTGAGGTGCCAGGCGGGACCTTACGGTGAAGCACGCGATTGCCAGAAGAGAGAGAAACATGAAGCCAACGGCACGCATCGCCCACGGGAACCCAACACTCTCAATCATTCGCGGGATCATGATTGGCAAAATGACGCCACCGACAGAGGACCCAGACATCATGATGCCGAAAGCAGTTGCACGACGACGATGGAACCATGTTACGAGGCATGACATGCTCGCGCTCGTTACAGCGCTGGCGCCGATGGGACAGACGATGCTTTGGGCGAGGAAGAAGTGGAAGTACTCGGATCCCAGGGAGACCATCATTATGCCAAAGACGTAGGTTATCGATCCACAGATGAGAAGCCACCGTGGACCCCATTTATCAAAGGCAAATCCCCACTGCGTTAGTTGTCAGTGGATCATAACTGATTCGGGTCGGAGAAGTATTGGACATACGACGATGGGCATGAAGTTCAAAGTCCATTGCATAAAGCTGGTAATCCACGATATGGTGGATGAACTGTATTCGCGAAGGGCATCGGTCACATAGTACGTTTGAAAGACGCCAATGCTGTTTCCCAAGCCAAAAGTACAGAACAGAACGCACCAGGCCCCGAAGAGTACAATGAGAGCCTGCCTCCCACCTTCGGGGTAGTCATCCGGATTCGCACCGGTGTCAGCTACGGATGTCGTTGTCGAGAGACCCTGCGCGGTGGCCGCCATCCGCTCGGGGAAGTTCTCCAGATCCGTGCGGGGGTGGGATGCGGAGGAAATGCGCCTTTCCTCGAACCGGTCTGGCTGGTGGGGGTCGGAAGCATTCTGGCGGGTCTCGGGCCCTGGCTCCGAAAAAGCCGCTTTCTCCATCTGCAGTTTGGACGCGAGAACGCGGGGGCAAGGCTTCGGAAAACGTCTATGCGTAAAGATACTGCAGTTTGCCCCAAAAGCCGGCGGGATGGGGAAGCATCGTTTGCTTGCTCCCAGCTCTAATTCTGGCACACGAAACCTTAAGTATTCAAGCAAGAGAGCGGAATCCGGAGAAGATTGTGGATACATGTTGTGGGGGGTCTGGGGATGACGATCCTCTTTGCAATCTTGCCATGCAAACTATTACCTAACGTATTGTTGGTTCGGTGGTTGTTGGGGTGAACGTATTTCCACCATTCACAGTGTGAGCGAAGCCTTCGGAAATGTCTACCACTAGGGATGACGTGATTGCTCGGCATTGAGGATTGACAAACACAGAATTCTGCAAGATATGGCAAAGAATTGAATAGTTCCGTCGCTTTGAGCCCAGTGCCACGATTTTGGTGATACCTGGTTTGTACTCACTCTTTGACGTTTGGCTTGGCAATTAGTCGTTTACTTCGGAAACCAATTATGTGTTCCTCATGTCGTTAATGATTCAGGGATTGATACAAGATGTTGTTCTCCCTTCATTCACCTGCAAGCTCTTGAGTGAGCACCGTTGCTTCGAAGGACGGACATAAGTCGGCAAGAGTTTCAGCGCTGTTAACGTTGAAGACGTATTTGAGATGAAGAGAGATATAATTAAATGGAAAACGATTACCAATTCACCGACTTCGAGCTGCTGTTCGTCCTCTGAGCAGTTGTTTCGTTCACGCTAGCTTTGGTTCATCACAGAATCTGCCCGGTAATCGGAAAGCAGCTCTAAAATGCTGAAGTCATGTTGACGACTGTTTCTCTCTTATGATACTTGAAGTTCCATATAGAGTACCTATACCGTTGATGAAAAACATAGACTGGAGCTAAAGCTTCAGAAAGCTAAACCTTGGACCGTACTTAGGGAAGGCACCTCCGGGCTAGTGCCTTCCAAAGTGAACCTGACCATGTTTCTTGCCTATAGGCAAAGTGGGGCGACGGTGAATAAAATCTTGCTAGGAGTATTCAGGAGGCATATTCTAGATGGTTTGAGCCCTACTGATTGCATAGTTTGACCGCCCTGGGCCCTCTTTTATAATCCTCACCTTCGCGTAACCACTTCGCTCCTCTGTCACGTCTCAGCTTAACAGCACCCTTCCTCTTCACATCTCTCCAACTTCCGTGCGGCAGTCTTTTCTTCGCCCCGTGGCGTACCTACCCTACACATCAGCAGTCTCATCTTCTATACCTTTGAGAACAACTATTCCGCGATCATCTCTTTCCCACCGGAGTGATTCTCACCAAACACCTTCGTATTTCCCCATCTCAACTTCCGCGCGACTATCGCAGACTTCGAGTATCGTCCTGACTTCAGGTTAGTCTACCGCCCTTGATCGCTACAAGCGTAATTCATGTCATCCGAAGCTAATCTTAATCAGACAGTCCCATGATAGAGATGGCTTTCAACGGAACTTCTGCCAACCCCCCTGCCCCTCACGAGATGGGCCCCGAGAATAACAACCAGCCGGGCCCTGCCACAGGATCTTCCACATTCACTACCCATGACAACCCGGCCGCCCCCGCTCACCAGGGCATATCCCAGGCTGATCACGCGGGCGATATGGAGGAGAAGGAGACGAAGAAGATTCAGAACCTCCATGCTAAGCTTCAGGAGGAGCGTAAGGCTCAGATCGAGGAGAAGAAGCGTGAAGAGGCCATTTACCAGGCCGGGCAGGCAGAGAAGGAGCGCCTGCAGAAGGAGGCGCAGGCTCAGAAAGACCGGGAGCAGAAGGCTCGCCTGCAGAAAGCCATTCAGGCCACTCCAGAGGAACGTGAAGCTTACGAGACGTCGCTGGAGTATGCTGAGACGTCCAGACGTTCTGAACGCCGTAGAGCCGAAACGCTCAGCAGCATCAACGGCTATCTTAAACGCCAAGGTAAAAAGCGCAGATGATAAGATGTTGGGGAGGGGGGGGGGGGGGCTTTCACGATGATGTATCTGCTTTGAGGGAGGAAAGAAGGAACAAATGGCGGTCTTCTTATCTTCGAGGCAGGTAGAGACATTCTTTGAAGATGCAAGGAGGACGTGAGGCAATTTCTAGGGGCCAAGGTACAAACTTGCACATAGCAAGCACAGAAAGGGGAATACTTGTGAAGGAAGCGTGTGTCTTTAGTGCTACAGCACTTTACCGACATTCATCACGACCGATGCAGATCATAAAGAAAGCGACACCTCTATTCCTTCCTCTAATCTTGAATCAAATCCGGGGCGGGGAGATCCCATTCATCTTGCATTGCTGACCATGATCATGAGAACTTCGTCTTTTCCACTGACGGCTTGCTGTTACCGCTGACAATTATTTTGAAAGACTAAGGCAAGAGAGAGACTCACATGACCGTTCTGTGCAATGCAAAGACGCAAGTCTCATTATTTGTCGTTGAGATGGCATCCTTCTAAAATGTCTCACAGTGACGACGCAAGTAAAGAAATTTCTAAGACGGAAAGACTAAAGACCTCTCCTAATCAGCCTTCTAGTCCTAGGACCATCGCGTGATATCGCACCCAATCTACAGACCTATATTTCCACCATCTAGTACCTACCAACAGAGATGTTCTCACGCATCCAAGCCTCTTGTTCAGCTGTCCACGCCCATCCCGTTGTGGTCCTGACCTGATGTATTTCAGCCAGATGATTCTTGGCATCAACTCACAAATGTTTGGGGAAAGCCGAAGCATCCAGCTCATGAGACGCGATTCATTGGTCAAATGCCCTGAGAAGGCGGGAATTCTGGTGATCAGACAGCTGCGAGAACTTCGGGTTCGCCTTGTTGGCAAGGTACTCCTTCTGGCCGCGTGCATACCTTTCGATGAGATCACCCTATCTGTTGTTGCTGACCTTGACCTCTCAAGCTGGGACCCGGTGCAGAAATTGCGAAGGAGTTAGTTTATATGAGAGACACAGACAAGGTCGCTGGAGGAAGTGAAAGAAGATGAATGTGGAAATTATCCCATATAGTGAGACCAAATCACCTTTCCTTCATGCCTGGGGGTATAGTTCATTCATTAATAGTAACTAGAGTGATGGACGTAGCAGTCTCCAGTGTACGAAACAGCCAAGATGTAACTAGTGCCACGTCTTTGTCTTTGATTGACCTGTGGCCATGAAAGCAATGATAGTTTCTGTGTTCATCATTGAAGTGGAAGGAGCCATCAGAGCCGGAGGGGCAGATGCTGGGTGAACGGGCCCGACATCCTGATGACGTTGGTATCTTCTAACCCGATAGCTATTCATCCATCAATCCTTCGCCTCAAATTGCAGCATGTCAGTGGTAGAGAAATTGTCTGCCTTGAACGCAATACATCGATCGATTGACTTGAGGAGTCGGCAGTTCTGGCGATCATTCAAGTATGGGAGCTTCGAGACTGATGGATTCTCAAGGTAGCTCATCCGCGCATTGGTGAAAAGCTGAACAAGGTCTCGGATCTTCTTGGCAGTGACCTTTGTCTTCCACAAAGGGTTCTCTTTGGAAAGGAATCGTTGTAATTTGTTCCAATACTGACGCCAGTCCATGATTGAGTCTTTGTTCGCATAAAGAACTCCAAAGACGATGGAGAACAGGTGCTCAACTCTGTAGCAGACACAGGACGGCATGTCGGTAGGCTCAATAGGCAGGGCTGGTGGGCCGGGGAAGAGTAGGTCCTGGTTGAGACCGAAGACAGTGACAGAACCTTAGTTCTGCTCAGTGATGATGATGTCTGGCATGTCGAGGCCAGGATACTTCAGGTACTTCTGGATTCGAAGAAGCTTGGGTCGATATGAGCGCCCTTAGCGCTTTTTTTGGGGCCCGGTGTTTTTTAAATGACCAAGGTGAGTGATCGATTGGACGGCTTTTAAAGGCAGTATTAGTTCTTATTATTATTCGAGATGAGCCCGACGAGGTAGACTTACAGCTGGAGAAGGCCTGAACTGCAGAGAGAACTCGCGACTGGATTCTCGGCTGCTCGGGATAGGGATATCTTCGGACTTAATGCCAGGCGGTAGGGACACAACATCGTTCATCTGATAGATATTTGGTGAGTAGAAGAATTGCAGTGTTAGGTAGACTACCGTACCTTGAACGTGCTGGGCTGTTGACGTAGGCCCGTGACCTCAGCGCAAATATTTTGGTATTCCTGAAAAGTGAGTCGAAAAGATTGCTGTGAAGTTCGGTCTGAAAAAACTTTTATAATTAGAAGAAAAGAATTTCTGCGTCTCTCACGACCGCGGTAAGGAGTGGTGTGTGAAGCAAGTGATTGAGTTAGTGAGGGCAACAACAACTCCCAAGCACGGGCCCTCATGATGGGATCAACAGCTTCACTGTTCCCTAACTGGGAAGGAGCTGAGTGCCTGGATAATATATCACACCTTCCCTCCAGCAGTTCATCAACAGAGTCCGCATTCTTTCCCCTTTAATTTAGTAACGAAGATTCAACTGAGGTGGAACCGCACAGAAAAGCTGCTTCCTTTTCACTGGAGCCAAGGCTTGGAATACCTCAACAACCAGCTGCGTCCCTACAAATCAACCTTGGCTCAACTTCCTCCACAATCTACCTACTATACCGTGTCATCTTATCACTGACCTGGAGAATAGATTGGAGGTCTGTTGGATTGAAGCGACATATATGAGCGTTTTCAGATCATTGGCGACTCAATAGACGGTTCAAGAGGGACATGAGGAAGATCATTTGCCCTGATATCTGTCACTTAGAAACATGATGTTAATCATTTGTTGAATAGGAAACGTTTAAACAGGTTGTCTGCAACGGTTTGTCCCAAAATTCCAAAGGGTCAAATATCGCACTGGGAAGAGTTCGACAAACTGTCCAGAAACAGGCCTGTCGCTCCGGCTGTCTGATTACACAGTGCATCGCCCTGGCGGGAGTCACTGCAATGGCATCGGAAGCGACCCACGCCAAGTTCACCTTCCATCTGAGTACGGAAGAC